CCTAGGAATGAACACAAGGGTCCCCCAGCATCCTTCATGATGATCAATAAATTCCTGCCTTTCCCTGGTGTCTGTGGTTCAGAATGTGCGTTATCTTTTAAGAATGACCTTGTCTTTTTATGGTATGGTGCAAGTCTACCTTATTGTTCTATGCTTGATTTAATTTATTCTCTTTGGCTTATACCCAGATGGATAGCACAAAGATATATGTTAATGTGATTTTGCTTGGACAAAACCGCGTCAGTAAGATTCAGTAATGAGAAACTAGATCTCTGATCCTTATGTTTTCTGCATATGAGCTTGTTCAATGGGGACTGCAAGTCAAAAAATTTTAAATAGATTTATTTAGTTGATTTCCAAGCAAGTTATTTAACCCAATTGCATGAATAGCTCCTGCCTAATCTGCAGTAGATTCTTTAAAGATTCTAAATTCCCTTTTTTAGTATGTCCCTAAGATTTATTTTTAGCATGTTGTTTTGTCATACAAATACTCTTTCTTCAGATAGTGCCTTCCTAGCAATGTATTTAGGGTATTTGTCGTCCATGAGTGTGATTTATGTTCTGAAGTGTGTGTTTTCCTTTACTTACAAACAAGGACAGAGTTCCTAAATGTTTAGAAATCTGTTGCCTGACATTACTTGCTTGGTAGTGTTTATTTATTATTTATTTATTGTCAGATTTGTACCCCACCCTCCCCGCAGAGCAGGCTCAGGGCGGCTGTTTCTTTTGAATTAATATATTCTAAAGTATCTAGTATACCAGTTATATTATCTTGTTATAGTCTGGTTCTCTGTTATCCTATGGAGGGCTCCTAATATTTCTGAAGTGTTGGAAACTGGTATATTTTTAGGCTGTGTACTGGTTAGAATCACTATTTTGTGTTCATAGGTTCCCGCATAAAATACCTTAGTACCTTGGAAGTAAGCCATCTAGGCATCTTCTCTCGGTATTATACACAGGTCTGAATTTGAAATCTAGTGTGTAGAAAGGAAACACTATGTCTTGGTAACTAATGGATTCTGATTAACCACTTCACTGCTTACTCCCAACTCCAAATCATTAATGAACAAGTTAAAAAGCAGTGGACCAAGTACTGCAGGGATCAGTACTTGGTCCACTGCTTTTTAACTTGTTCATTAATAATTTGGAGTTGGGAGTAAGCAGTGAAGTGGCAAAATATGCGGATGATACGAAGTTGTTCAGAGTGGTGAAAACCAGTGAGGATTGTGAGGCACTCCAAAGGGATCTGTCAAGGATGGGCAAGTGGGCGTCAACATGGCAAATGGGGTTCAATGTGGCCAAGTGCAAGGTGATGCACATTGGAGCCAAAAATCCTAAATATAAATACAGATTGATGGGGTCTGAACTGGCAGAGACTGATCAAGAGAGAGATCTTGGAGTTGTAGTAGATAACTCACTGAAAATGTCGAGACAGTGTGTGACTGCAATAAAGAAGGCCAATGCTATGCTGGGGATTATTAGGAAGGGTATTGAAAACAGATCAGCCAATATCATAATGCCCCTATATAAATCAATGGTGTGACCTCATTTGGAATACTGTGTGCAGTTCTGGTCACCACACATTAAAAAGGATATTATAGCTTTGGAAAAAGTGCGGAAAAGGGCAACTCGAATGATAAAAGGGTTGGAACACTTTCCCTATGAGGAAAGGTTAAAGCGCTTAGGGCTCTTTAGCTTGGAGAAACGACGGCTGAGGGGAGACATGATTGAGGTTTATAAAATTATGCATGGGATAGAGCAGGTAGAGAAAGGGGTACTTCTCCCTTTCTCACAATACAAGAACTCGTGGGCACTCAATGAAATTGCTGAGTGGTCAGGTTAGAACGGATAAAAGGAAGTACTTCTTCACCCAAAGAGTAATTAACACATGGAATTCACTGCCACAGGAGGTGGTGGCGGCTACAAGCATAGTCAGCTTCAAAAGGGAATTAGATAAGCATATGGAGCAGAGGTC